TCTATGCAGAAATAGAAGTATAATGATGTACACCTGAAATTTATACAATGTTATAAACCAATGTTACTGCAATAAACAAAAAATTAAAAAAACAATCCAACACCTTTTCATGATAACGACATTCAACAAACTGGGAATATAAGGGAACTTCCTCAACCTGATAAGAGAATCTACAAAACTCCCACAGCTAACATCATACTTAATGATAAAAGACCAATTGCTTCCCCCTTAGATAAATAACAAGAATGTGCATTCTTACTGTTTCTCTTCAACACTGTACTGAAGGTTCTAGCCACGCCAATTAGGCAAGAAAAAGAAAAAAAAAGCATCCAGATTGGAATGGGAGAAGTAACAACATCACTATTCAGATTCCACGACTTGTATATAAAAAGTCTTAAGAAATCCATAAAAAAATCTACTAGAACTAATAAACTCAGCAAGGTTGCAGGATACAAGATCAATATATACAAAAATTGTATTTCTATATACTGGCAGTGAACAATTCAAAAAGAAAATCAAGAAAACATTTCCATTTACTATAATATCAAAAATAATAAAATACTTAGAAATAAAATTAACAAAGGAAGTACAAGGCTTATACACTAGAAAATACAAAACAACCTTGAAGGAAATTTAAAAAGAACTAAATAAATGGAAAAGAAAGATGTCCTGTGTTCATGGATTGGAAAACTTAATATTGTTAACACAGTATTCCGCAAGTTGATCTACCGATTCCATGCAATGACTATCAAAATCCCAGCTGGCTTCTTTTTTCCCCAGAAATTGACAAGCTGATCCTAAAATTCATATGGAAATGCAAAGGACCCAAAAGAGCCAAAACAATCTTGGAAAAAGAATAAAAGGACTCACATTTCCTGGTTTTAGAACTTACTACACAACTATAGTAATATAAATCAATGGAATAGAATTGTGAGTCCAGAAATAAACCCTAACATTTATGGTCAATTGATTTTCAACAAGGATGCCAAGGCAATTCAATGAGTGAAGGAATAGTTTTTTCAACAAATGGCACTGGGACAACTGATCATCCAGAAGTAAAAGAATAAAGTTGGACCCCTTCCTTATAGCATACACAAAAATTAACACAAAATGGCTCAGAGGCCTAAATTTAAGCATTAAAACTATGAAACTCTTAGAAGAAAATATAGGAGTAAATCTTTTTGACTTTGAAGCAGGCAATAATAGCATCTTATATGTGACATCAAAAGCACACACAAGAAAAGAAAAATAGATAAATCGGACTACATAAAAATTAAAACTTTTGTGCTTCAAAGGACATCATCAGGAAAGTGAAAAGACAACCCACAGAATAGGAGAAAAATTTTGCAAATATTATACATGATAAGGGATTTGTATCCAGAATCTATAAAGAACCAATACAACTCAACAATAACAAGACAAATAAGCCAACTTTAAAAATGGGCAAAGAATTTGAATAGACGTTTCTCCTAAGAAGATATACAAATGGCCAACAAGAACATTAGGGAAATGCAAATCAAAACCACAATGAGATACCACTTCACATTCACTAGGATGGCTATAATCAGAAAGAGAGACAGTAACAAGTATTATCAAGGATGTGGAGAAATTGGAACTCTCATAAATTGCTGGTGCAAATGTAAAGTGGTGCAGTCTCTGAAAAATAGTTTGGCAGTGCCCCAAAATGTTAAACATGGTGTTGCCATATAACTCAGCAATTTTACTTCTAGATGTATACCCAAAAGAATCAAAAACAATGTTTACACAAATAGCTGTACATGAATATCTGTGGCAGCATTATTCATAATAGCCAAGACATGGAAACAACCCAAAATGCCCATCAACTGTTGAATAGATAAACAAAATGTGATATATCCATACAATGGAATATTATTCAGCCATAACAAGAAACAAAGTACTAACGTATGCTACAATATGGATGCACCTTGGAAATAATATGCTAAGTGAAAGAAGGCAGACACAAAAGACCACATATTGTATCATTCCATTTAGATAAAATGTCTATAATAGGCAAATCCATAGAGACAGAAAAGTAGATTAGTGATTGCCTAGGGTTGGGGGTAGGGAGAAATGGGGAGTAACTGCTAATGGATATGGGGCTTCTTTTTGGGGTGATAAAACTGTCTGGAATTAGATACTGATGATGGTTGCATGACTTTGTGAATATATTAAAAAACACTAAAGAGTAAAGTTTGTGGTATGTGAGTTATATCTCTAGATAGATGAAAGGAAAAAGGAAAGGAAGAAAGAAAAGAAGGAAGATAGGTCAGATAGATGGAAGGAAAGGAAGGAGGGAGGGGGCAAGGAAGGAAAGATAAATAAAGCAAGCCAGTCAGCTAGCCACAATGAGTCAATATGGCTCACATGGTTTTTGATCAAAAGTAATAAAACCTGCTTACCATATTAAATTCAAACTCTTCCTTGGCTTGAAAGATTCTCCATGACCTTGTCCTACACAAACTTATTTACTTCTTGATTCCAACATGAACCTAGCCAGTCCGATCTCCATGGCAGGCTTATTCTCACCTGAATGGTATTGCTTATATTGTTACCTTAACTCAGAATAACTTTCTTCTGGTCCTCCATGTTTCTAACTTTGCTCTCATCTTTTAGAAGTCAAAATCAAGTGCAGCCTACTTTGAAGCTGCCTCTAAACTACTGCAAATAGATGATATCACAGGCTCTGTGAGTGTAAGCTCTTTGAGAAAAGAAGCATTATGCTTTTTTTTTTTACCTTTCAGAGACGCTAAAATATGCTAAATACTTGTCATTTAGATGATTCATTCACTTAAACTGTTTTTCAAAAAAAATTCTCTATTATTAAACTTCAATGGATAGATAGGATTGATATGTAATCATTATGGGTGCTCAACCCATTATAAACGAATGTGTGGCAAGGAGAGTGCTAGTTATCCACCATAGTCCAATCTTCCCTTCTTCCCTAGTATCTGGACGTATGTGTGCTCAGCTACACTACATTTTGCAGATTTCTTTGTGAATAGGCGTGACCCTGAGACCAAGATCCTCCAATAGAGCGTGGGTGAAGTAATGTGTACACCATCCAGGCCTAGCCAATAAAATCTCCCACAACTGTTTCTCCATGCTCTCTCCCCCATCCTGTGAGTACGAATGGCAATGAAAGAGCACGTTGGAAACCACGTTTTGAAGATGACAGAGCCTGCTGTCAGCCTAAGTCCCTGAATAATCTCACGGAGGAGAGCTGCCTACTGACTTGAATACTCACCCTCCTCTCTTTATTCCTTTAAGTAAAATTCTATTGTGTTTGAACTATTACCTGTTTGAGTTTTATTTGTGTTAGCAGTCTAGCATACCCTAATTAATATAGTGTGCTTCTAAAGGACTTTTTTTTAATGATTCCTCCACCGCCTACAAAATAAAATTCAAACTCCTGGACTATCCCAATCTACCTTATTGATTTTTTTCTCCAACTACTTCACTTCACTCACCCTACGCTTCTAAACAGAACATGGTCCTATGTACATTCCACATTTACCTCTGTCTGTGTTCAGTTACACTGATACCTTCACCTGGAATGTTCTTTCATTCCATCTCCATACATCCAAAATTCACCAATTTTCAAGACCTACAAATGCTAGCTCTTCCATGCAGCCTTCTCTGATTCCTCCAGATGAAAGTAATTTATCCTTATTATAAATCCTGATGGGACTTTATATTTCTCTAATAATTTGTCTCATTTGTCTTTCATTTGCCAATGAATATGTTTTAATACCTACTGGTCTATATACTTTTAAGGTCAGGATTCTTACCTGATTCATCTTCATACACTCTTAAGCACCTAGCACAGTATCTTTTACAAAGCAAGAATTCAATAAATATTTGTTAAATGTAAAATAAAAATGAATTAATAAAGTATCAATTCTCTTAAGTATTCCTACTACCATTCTACTTAGATTAATAAAATCCACTATCAATCTCAGCCCAACCTCTGTCCTTATTATCACAATTTTCAAATTAGTAGAGTTGGATTTAATGTGATTTCATCATTTGGAACATGTACACATTTGGGATCATAATGAAGTCATACCTGACAGTATCCAATTTTGGGATTCCTGTATGCATAAGCAGTGAGTACCCGCCTCAGAGCAGATATGCCAGTGTCACTCTGAAAGGCTGGGTGCTCAGGCAGGGAGCGACGCAAATCACGTTCAATTTCTTCAGTAGCCAAGTTGCAGGTCCCTAAGGACTGCTCAACCACTTCAGCATAATAGCCAGGATTAGCAGCCATGTCATTAATAGCACCTGTAATATACAAAAGAAGAGGAATATAATAAAGCCACTACTTGTATATATACATGAAGAATTGGATTACCTTTAAATTTAGCTTTATGCTCAAGTGATATCTGAGTACAAACAAAAGAAAAGAAAAAGCTTCACACTACAATCTATAATGTCAATCTTATCCAACAAAATAACATTTTCATGAACTGTTTTTTCCCCTTAATTTTCCTTTGACACTACAGATAGAGATTCCGCCCCCTCCAATTAGTCATATCTTGCCTAATAAACTAATCTGCTCAGACAATGGATGTGTGGATATAGTACACATAACTACCTTACTCTCTTTGACTAGTGTGAACTCATGGTGACTAAGACTTTGTCCTAGCCATGTTTGTAATTATTTTTATTTAGCTTAGTGCATAACTCCTAGAAGGGGCATAGTTCATGTCTGTTAAATGAATAAAGTGCATAAATGTAATACCTGAAAAAAGCATCCAGAGCTCTCCTCTTAAGGTCTCTGGAATCCCTCTTACAACTAGATCTCGAGTCTTTTTGGTCCGAAACATGCTAACACCACGCCCACATTCTGCAAATAGGATGTTCCATGACTGTTCCTTCATTTTCTCTTTCAACTATAACAAAAAACCAAAGCAGCTAAGGTGAGAAATTAACTTCTTTCAAATAACTTGATAACTCTCTTCACCATGAAACAATACCTATGGAAATCAAGAACATAGAAAGTCAAAATCAGTATTAGGATGGGCCAAACACTGGACCACTGTCATCATGAAAATCTTCTAAATTCGTGTGAGCTAAAGAGCTTTAATTTACTATTTTAATTCTTAGCTAAACTCACACAAAAATGGGAAAAGCATTACACTTAGGAGGTAAAGCTTTGAATCATCATTCTTCCCAAATCACCTCGATTAGGACTGATTATTAGAAATCTACGCAAATAAAACTCAATATTCAACTTTGATCTCTTATCTTAATTCTGGATAATAGTCCTTTTGTGTAATGAAACCGAACAAGTCACGCAGTAGTACCTGCTGGAAAACCTTTTCAAGCCCCAAAAGAAGAGTTTTCAGTTGTGGTACCTTCTAGTCTGCTCTAAGATTTTTATTTTTGATAAACTGTTTCAGTCTATAGATTTAAATATTTTGTTTTCCTACCATTTTGGAATTAAGAGTCTCCAAGTTCCGAGGGTGAAATACCGTCATTAAGGCTTCGGTGTTCACAGTTTTACTGCATTCTCTCTGACATGTCAAAGATCGTACCTCAGCATTATCAGATGGGTCTATAGAATCAGAATGAATTGAAACCTAAAAAATAAAGAATACAGTTGTTCCAAATATATGTTTAAAAGTTTCTGCAAGAAGAAAAAGTGCTAATGCTTTATCCGTTATTTATAAACCATGATCCATATACATAATAATATTAAAGCAATGTCTCAGAGAGACATTGTTTTTCTATCAAAATTAGAGATGTCAACAAACCAACTTCTGAAACAACCAACTCAGGACCTCAGCGAACCTACTCCCTACAAAAGCAACAAAATACTGGCAAAAGATTAAAAAAATAGTTCAGAACATTGGAAATTAACCAAAGGCACAGAATGAACTGAAAAGCATCGATTCAAGTAAAACTAATGAACCTCAGTAAGAATGCCAGACTCTGTTTTAACTTGAGGTTTTAACTTGAGGTTATTCCCATCCCCCCTCCCTCCAAAGCTCTAAAGTGTGGTAGTCATGAAAGGTAGCATTATCAAAGCCAATGGATTTTTTGGAGTTTCATTAAAAGCCCCATCCCCAGAACACAGTCAATATTTTGACTAAACTAGCAGCTCCCTGGAAAATCTCCATTCCCAAGGTGTTGTTATCATTTTATTTGATTCAGAGCTCAGCTCTGTGAAAAAAAAAAGCCCCATTCCCAGGGCATTATAGAAAATCATAGCAATCTGCTGATAACATTACAGCTGCCTAAGGCTGTGATTTCAGTGTGGGGCAAACAAGAGCCTGGCTAAAAATTTAAAAGGAAAATCTGGACCACAGGGAACTCTGAAAGGTTCCAACATATTCGTGGGGATCTAGAAGTATGCATGCATGAAAAGGGCTGTGAACCTGCCAGGGAAAGAAATGGGATAGGAGAAGGTCCCACTCACTCAACTCGGGCTGACTTTGGAAATAAGAAATGAAAGCTAAGGCTGATTTATAAACTGCCTGAAGTTTGAGGAATTCCTTCACAAAAAGATCCCCTTGACAAAAGGTGGAAAAACTTAATGGTTCAAGGCATTTAAGGAAATCTTCTGACCCATCATTGGCTGACCACTAATTTATACTGACTCAGGGAGTGATCTGAGAAAGTCAGGCTTAAAAATGAAAACAAGAGGGGGTTGGCCCGGTGGAGTAGTGGTTAAGTTTGCATGCTCTGCTTATGTGGCCCAGTGTTCGCAGGTTTAGATCCCAGGCACTGACCAACATAATGCACATCAAGCCATGCTGTGGCAGCATCCCATATACAAAATAGAGGAAGATTGGCACAGATGTTAGTTCAGTGACAATCTTCCTAAGGCAATAAGAGGGAGACTGGCAACAGATGTTAGCCGATATTCCTCACCAAAAAAATAAAAAAAAATAAAATAAATAATAAAACAAGAACTATTAAAAAAAAAAAAAAAACGCAACCAAAAGAAAATGTCCCTGTGGGGGCCCTGTTTTTGGATTTTGCAAACTAAGAATGTAAAGCAGCTATTATAAATATACTCAAAAAACTAAAGGAAATTATGTTTAAAAAAATAAAGGACCCAGTTAAACAGTGGGCAAAAGATCTAAACAGAGACTTCACCAAAGAAGATATAAAGATGACAAATAATCATACAAAGAGATGCTCAACATCATATGTCATTAGGGAACTGCAAATTAAAACAACAATGAGGTACTACTGCACACCTATTAAAATGGTAAAATCGAAAACACTGTCAATACCAAGTGCTACTGAAGATGTGGAACAACAAGAACTCTCACTCATTGCTGGTGGGAATGCAAAATGGTACAGCCACTTTGGAACATGGTATGGCAATTTCTTATTAAGCTAAACATAGTCTTAGCATACGATTCAGCAATTATACTCCTGGGTATGTACCCAAATAAACTGAAAACTTATGTCCACACAAAAACCTGCAAATAAATGTTTATAGCAGCTTTATTCATAATTGCCAAAAACTGGAATCAACCAAGGTGGCCTTCAATAGGTGAATGGATAAACACTGTGGTATAGGCCAGACAATGGAATATTTGTCAGCAATAAAGAGAAATGAACTATCAACAAAACTAAAAGTTGGTTTTTTGAAAAAATAAACAAAGCTGACAAACATTTGGCTAGATTTATCAAGAAAAAGAGAGGACTCAAAATTAAACATGAAAGAGGAGACATTATGACTGACACCACAGAGATACAAAAGATCATAAGAGACTACTATGAACCATTATATGCCAACAAATTGGAAAACATAGAAGAAATGGACAAATTCCTAGAGACATATAACCCACCAAGACTGAATCATAAAGAAACAGAAAATATGAACAGATCAATAACATGTAAGGAGATGGAATCTGTAATCCAAAACCTCCCAACAAAGAAAAGCCCGGGACCAGATGGTTTCATGGGTGAATTCTATCAAACATTTAAATAAGAATTAATACTAATCTTTCTCCAACTCTTCCAAAAAATTGAAGAGGAGAGAACACTCCCAAACTCATTTTATGAAGCCAGCATTTCCCTGATACCAAAGCCAGTTAAGGACACTACAAGAAAAGAAAACTACAGGCAAAAATCCCTGATGAATACAGATATAAAAATTATCAACAAGGTACTAGCAAACCGAATTCAACAGCACATTGAAAGGATCATTCACTATGATCAAGTGGGATTTATCCCTGGAGTCAAGGACAGTTCAACTTATACAAATCAACAAATGTGATACACCACATTAATAGAATGAAAGATAAAAATCAAATGATCATCTCAATAGATGCAGAAAAAGCATTTGATAAAATTCAACATCCTTTCATGATAAAAACTCTCAACAAAGTGGGTATAGAAGGAACAGACCTCAATTTAATAAAGGCTATATATGATGAGCCCATGGTTAACATTATACTCCATGGTGAAAGGTTGAAAGCTTTCCCTCTAAGATCAGGAACAAGATAAGGGTGCCTATTCTCACCAATCCTATTCAACATAGTACTAGAAGTCCTAGCCAGAGAAATTAGGCAAGAAAAAGAAAAAAAAGGCATCCAAATCAGAAAGAAAGAAGTAAAACTGTCTCAGTTAGCTGATGACATGATGTTATATATAGAAAATCCTAAAGACTCTACCAAAAACCTATTAGAATTAATCAATGAATTCAGTAGTTTCAGGATAAAAAACCAACAAACAAAATCAGTTGTGTTTCTATACACTAACAATGAACTATCTGAAAAAGAAATAAAGAAAACAATCTCATTTACATTAGCATCAAAAACAATAAAATACTTAAGACTAAATTAAAGCAAGGAAGTGAAAGATCTATACACCAAAAACTGTAAGACACTGATGAAAGAAACTGAAGAAGACACAAATGGAAAGATATCTTGTGTTCATGTATCAGAAGAATTAATATTGTTAAAATGTCCATGCTACCCAAAGCCATCTATAGATTCAAGGAAATCCCTATCAAAATTACAATGGTATTTTTCACAGAAATAGGAAAAAATCCTAAAATTCACACGAATCACAAGAGACCCTGAATAGCCAACACAGTCTTGAGAAAGAACAAAGCTCAAGGCATCACACTTCCTGATTTCAAACAATTTTACAAAGCTACAGTAATCAAAACAGTATGGTACTGGCATAAAAACAGACACATAGACCAATGGAACAGAACTGAGAGCCCAAAAATAAACCCACATATATATAGTCAACTAATATTTGACAAGGGAGCCAAGACTACTCAGTGGTGAAAGCAGAGTCTCTTCAATAAAGGCTGTTGAGGGCCGGCCCTGTGGTGTAGCGGTTAAGTGCTCACGCTCCGCTGCTGGCAGCCCAGGTTCGGATCCCGGGCGCAACACCGACGCACCGCTTGTCAGGCCATGCTGTGGCGGCGTCCCACATAAAGTGGAGGAAGATGGGCACGGATGTTAGCTCAGGGCCAGTCTTCCTCAGCAAAAAGAGGAGGATTGGCATGGATGTTAGCTCAAGGCTGATCTTCCACCCCCAAAAAATAAATAAATAAATGCTGTTGGGAAAACTGGATATTCACAAGCAAAAGAATGAAATTGGACTGCTATTTTATACTATGCACAAAATTAACTTGAAATGAATTAAGGACTTAAACGTAAGACCTGAAACCATATAACTCCTAGAAGAAAACATAGGGAAAAATTTCCTTGACACTGGTCTCAGTAATGATTTTTTGGATATGACATCAAAAGCATAGGCAAAAATCAATAAATGGGACTACATCAAGCTAAGAAGCTTCTGCATAGGAAAATAAATCAACAAAATGAAAAGGCAACATATGGAATGGAAGAAAATATCTGCAAACCATGTATCAGATGAGAGGTTAATATTCACAATATGTAAGGAACTCATACAACTCAATAGCAAAAAAAAAAATCCGATTAAAAAATGGGCAAAGGAACCATAGATATTTTTATAAAGAAGGCATACAAATGGCCAACAGGTACATGAAAAGGTGCTCAACATCACTAATCATCAGGAAATGCAAATCAAACCACAATGAGATATCACCTCACACCTGCTAGAATGACTATTATCAAAAAGAGGAGATAAGTGTTGTCGAGGATGTAGAGAAAAGGGAACCCCAGTGCACTGTTGGTGAAAATGTAAATTGGAGCAGTCACTATGGAAAACAGTATGGAGGTTCCTCAAAAAATTAAAAGTAGAACTACCATATGATCCAGCAATCCCACTTCTGGGTATATATCCAAAGGAAATGAAATCACTATCCTGAAGACACATCTGCATCCCCATGTTCATTGCAGCATTATTTACAATAGCCGAGAAATAGAAACAACCTAATTTTCTGTTGACAGATGAATGGTTAAAGAAAATGTGTATATATACACACACACAATGGAATATTATTCAGTCATAAAAAAAGAAGTCCTGCTATTTGCAACATGGATGGACCCTGAGGGAGTTACACTAAGTGAAATAAGTCAGACAGAGAAAGACAAATACTATATGATCTCACTTATATACGGAATCTAAAATAGCCAAACTCATAGAAGCAGAGAGTAAAATGGTGGTTGCCAGGGGC